GCTCTCACCAACCTCAGACTCCTGGGTTCAAGTGATCCTCCTATCTCAGCCTCCCAAGTAGCTAAGACTACCGGCATCCACCACAACTCCTGGCCAAGTTTTCTAATTTTAGTAGAGATGAGGGTCTTGCTCTTGCTCAGGCTGGTCTCGAACTCCCAATCTCAAGGAATTCTCCCACAGCCTCCCAGAGTGCTAGGACTTAGACATGAGCCACCACATCCAGCCATATGTCAGTAACATTTTTAATAAACATATGTAAACACACAATTTAGACAGCCAGTTGTTAAACATTTACCAGCACCCCACTGCTTATACTTATTGAAAAAGCTGCTGCATAAGGAGCCCCTAAACTCATAATAGCACTAATAATGAAGATTGTTACATGAAAACGATTTTACGCAGAAAGGCAAACTTCCTTTTGGTTGAAAAGTGCCATACTTGGGTATTTGTAACCTCGATCTAAGATCCTTGGTTCATTCTTTTCCTAATATCTGATCTCAACAATAGTAGGCAAGTATCTCTAATGAGGTACATCTTTGCTTTTTAAGTTACATCAACCATTCTCTGAAAACCTTGAACATTTTTTAAAGCCATCGACCCCCTTTTTATTGTTTCTGGATAATTTAAGGGTACAAAGAATTAGATTACAATGTTTGCATTTGTTAGGTAGAGTCCCCCTTATACTTGTGTCCTGCCCAAGAACTGTGCCGTATCCATTAACATCGTGCTTATTAAGTAGGAGGACACCTATATCCCCTCCCTCTTCCCCTCTCACCGCTCTCTTGTTCCCTCCCCCATCTTGAATTGATTTGAGTTTTTCTCTTATGTGGGCATGTATTGGATCTACTGGCTTCCTATTAATATTCAGTACATTGGAAGATATCCCTTTTTAAAAAAACGCATTTGGCAAGAGGGCTCAACTATTTTGAATATACATAAGGAAGGACACCATCCTGCTAAAGCAGCTAAACAGTCCTTTTGCACTAGGAAATCAAAAGTAAGGAGCTCAGCCAATTGGCCTTCACTGGGGTGGAGAGGCCCTATAGCACTTTTTTGTTGTTTTAAACATCTGTGCTGTAAGAGCGTGACACTCTTGACTGTTCACCTCTGTAGTTCCTGTCCCACACCAGCACCTATGTCTCTCCCCACACTCAATACCAAGTATGGACTGGCTCTCACCTTTGCTTACTGAAGTGCTTGCCCCACTGTCTTCATCCTTTTTAATTTCAGACATCTGTTTCAGAAATATAGATTAGTAACAGTGATCTCAGTGGTTATTCACCAATATCTACTTGTTAACAAACACTATTGCTGGGGCCCTGAGGTGTTTAAAATGTCAAATTTTAAACACTCAGTTTAAATAAGGGCTTATTGAGTTAACTAATAAGTTAAATCAGGACTTATTGAGTTAAATAATAAGTTGAATAAATACTTATTGAGTTCCATTTATA